CGAAGAACAACTATTTAATCTCATGAACCGTTTAAAGTTCAGGATGACAGTGTTAGATATTGATGCTTTTCACTATGTATATATTATTCGAATGAAAATTGTGCCCAATTCTGGTTTGGACGCAACGATGTGCTTGCATAAATGTGAATGCACAAAGTCGGTTTTACACAAATCATTTGACCATATGAACCGGCCCTAAAGTATTCCGAGCTGTTTCGTGTCGTTCTTCCAGGATCTCCGAAACGCTTGGCTATCGATCCCTCCCCATGGTTTGTTTGACAATCACTATTTGTAAACGAGCCTTTTTTTGTTCCCAAGCCGTTTAATTCACGCGCGCTTTTTTTGCGCCCCCGGATCCCGCGCCGTGCCTCCATGGAGAGACTCAATTAATCGGGAAGACTCGAATTGGAATGTTTCTTTCTTCTTTTTTTTTTGAACCCTTTAACGGTGGAATTTTCTTTTGGAAGTGTGTATCTGCGTGTGTAATTGAAATCAAGCGATGACAAATACACTCGTCAAACGCTGAATAAATGCATCTACATACCTACTCGAAATTTGAATTAAATTGTAACAAAATGGCAAATACTACGAGTTAGTTTATTTGAAAAAACCAGTAATTTTATTGTTTCAAAATTCATTTATATAACAAATATTATTAATACAGACTTAAAAAATTCGTAATGTAAAAAAAATAGGAAAACTTCACATACGGGAAAATCGTACACCATTTGATTCCTTTACTCTAATAAAAGAAATGCAATATTTTTCAATTTTTACTAAAATTTTAATTTTTGGAACAAAAGGTGTTTTATTTTTTCACATGACGAGTATATTCGTCATTACCTAAAAAATGGTCATTTTCTAATGACGAATATACTCGTTAAACCCCTATGAAAGGGGGGAAAGCAAAGACCATCGTTTAATTAACCCTTTAACGAATATACTCATAATAAATAATACAATTTTATCTCGATTGGGATGCAAAACGGAAATTCGAGGGGCAAGATTTCGTATTGGGGTACATACGGTGCGCTGTCAAACCTGACCTAAAATCGGTTGTCTCATCGTCCCTTATTTTCTCACTGATTAATAAATCACACCCGTCATTCTTATTCAAAACTGACAGAGCCAAGATATTGTTATGCTAACGGGCTATATCAAGGAAGAGAAGAGGTGGAAATCTCGATGGAAGAAGAAGCCAAGAAGGAGACAGATATTAAAAGTCGTAAGGACTAACCTGACCGACATTCACGTTTCACGCCACGACGCTTCCCGCTTTCAAAAACTCAAATTGTCGACCAGATTGCAAGTTCTTTAACCCTTTAAAGTCTGAATTATGTTATCATTACTTTCTTATCGCCATTTTTATTCTAGATACATATTTGAAAACTGTTCAAATACAGCTTTATTTTTTGTATTTCTTTATTCAAATAGCGAAATTATGTTATCCTTTCTTTTTTACCGCCATTTTTATTCTAGACACTTGCAAACTATTCGACTATGGCTTTTTTTATTTTTTATACTCTTTTTTTATCACTGACTAAAGTTTAAAACTTTTTAGAATGTTCATTTTTAGGAATTCGATAATTCCACATTTGTGGATTCCCTTCAATTCGAAAAGTCATGTCTAGACCGCGGAACTTTATGCAAAATAACATTTTTTGAAGTGATTCTTCAAGGCAGATGTGGAGATTAAAGTTTCTTCCATTTCTTAAGGATTTTATTGTGACAAGAATAAAACAGAGAATGTATTAACACTAGAACTACCAAGCAAGTCAAAATGACTTGTCAATACACTCTTACAACGACGATTAAAATGTTATGACAATACATTTTCTCAGATGTTTTGCACCTTTTATTACGATATGAAAGTAAAGAAATTAGTCCCTTTTAAATTTTCAAAATTTTCAAAAGTTTTTCATGTTTATCCACTGATCGAAGCAAATATGCGTTTATCGTCGGTAGTTCTAGTGTTAAATCTGACATTAGCGTTACCATTTATCACATTTCACATAGTCACACATACCATAAATGCATATAATCCACAGTCTAGTCATGTCTGTCCAATGGGATTCACCGAACAGTGTCAGAAATGGTCCGAAAAAAATGAGCATTGAAGGAAACTGAGGGGTTCTTCGTACAGTTAAGTCGACTAAAGGATGATCTCGCGGTTAGTCAGCCGTTTTCGGTGATCAATCAGTCTGTTGTAGTCCAACCGCGAAAAAATACTCTACGCCCACCATCTGGAGCGAATGTAACGTTCGTAAAAGGGGGAGAGGGAGGGGGGCTAGTTACCATGAAGTCTCTGCTGGGAATATTCACTTGGTCAATCGATAAAATGTCCTTTGCACGCCACTTCGAGTCAAATGAGTGTAAGATAACCCTTCCAAGTAACTTGCTGAAGACATATGAGCTTCAAAGAAAATTATAAGAATATCGGAAATTTTACAAAAATAGTATACTTGATTTTTTCAGTAAACATAATCACTCGATTTACTCAGTCTAGGTTGAAGAATCCAGGGGAAAAACGATTTAGGTTCAGAGAAAGTAAAATTTTCAATATATGAAAAACAAACTCTGTGAATTCTTCCCTTAACACTATACAGGGTGACCGATTTAAATCAACCCACTCGAGTATCTCCGAAACTTGACGACATTAAAAAATGTTTCAGATAAGATTTAAATGGCATCAGAGGGCACACTTTCTGATGTACATTTTTTCTATGCAAACACGTAAAGGTCATACGAAGGTCAACTTTGTTGTTTTAAATGGAATCGTATGTTTTTTAGTGCATTAATTCGCCATGAGTGACTTGACTGAACAACAGCATCAAGTACTGCGTTAAAAAATATACGATTCCATTTAAAAATAAAACAGAATTGACCTTCATATGACCTCTACGCCCAATTGAGCTCAAACTTTTCACAGATTATTTTTTTATTAATCAAAATTATTTTGAAAGGTGCCGCGAGGAAGATTCGAAAGTTAAAAGTAAGAGCCACCCTAGTGGATACGACTTGTGTTAGTAACTATGTACTTTGTGTTAGTAACCTATCGATGTGAGTCAGGAATGATCCGACCTATGACTCCCCGCGAGTCCAGTACTCGGAGGGTTAAAACTCAAAGGCCTCAAACTAATATTTCTAACAAATTCATAGAAAGAAAAAACATTTTCTCAATATACTAAACTTGAGAAATTGACATTTGGCAATAAAAAGCTGTTGCCCAGACTACCGTGGCGCTCTAGTAGCCGTCCGAAAGTTTCAAGGCGACACTTCATCAGTCAAGTTTCCATGACGCAGCGAAACTCGGAAGCGAAAGCAAGCGAGTCGAACGCCAATCGTGTAATTAGCAAATAACGAAATACTTGTCCAGGCCTCTGTCTCTCTATAAACACAGCAGAAAGACGGGCTACTTGGCCGGGGGCCATCAATGGCGTCCTCCACGGTGCAATTACATTTTCCCAGGAAAATGGCGGACTCCGCGTCTGAGTGGCTCGTAGATGTGTGGCCGCGTTTAATTTCGCAGGCAAATGAAAAGTTTCGCCGTCAGATGCTCGCCTGGCCACGGCCAACTTGCCACACGAGTACTTTTCTCACTTTCCTCGTTCGCCGAGCTTCCAGTCGCGCAGATGATTCTTGCCGCTGACGGCGTGCTGGCATATGGACCAACCGGCACGTATCATTCGCTCCTAGTCTCGATGGTCGTCGTTCGACGCCATCTTGGTCTGGCTGTTACGCTGGATATTGCTGGAGTTTTCTCCGTGTAAATTATCCAGCTGGTCAGAGAGAACAATTCTGGCAGCGAATCTCAGCGAAACACGCGTGTGAAGCTGTCCTGGTGTGCTCGTGGCCGGGAAATTAGTCGGAAAAGTTTTATAAGCTTCGCCGTTATGGGATCGTCCGGTGGAATTAAAAAAAATGGCCGGAAATCGCGTAGTTGCAGGCGGAAGTTACTCCGAGGAACACGTTTCTGGCCTACTCGCCGCGGATGAACTGGTTCTCGGATAATTGCTTTTTTCTATCTACTATCTTTTTTTTTTTTATTTTAGTTTTTATTTACGCGTTCCTGTTCCCCAACTTCCGGTTAATATCGAGCTTGAACGGAAGATAGCAGATGCGTTTAATGATAGGAGCGGTGGCAGGGTTTTTAGCGTTGCTTTGAAAATAGTGTAATTTGTATTGGAGTTTCTGAAGTTGCATTGAAATTTTTTGTAACGCGTTCACTGGCGCACGGTGGTAGGTAATGACTTATTTTTTCCGAATCAGTCTACTGGTCGTACTTTTTTAGTAAACTCAATGCTTTTTTGTTTTAATTTCTTCGTAATGACATTTTCTATCGATCTGTCTAACCTAAATTTTTAATTTTGAAACATACAGATTTTTAAGATGAGCAGTATCTGTGGGATTTTTTGGTTACGAATTTAAAGTCACGTTTCCAAAATTCAAAATAGGGAATGCAATATGACAAAGCGAAATGTCAGAAAATTAGCTTATTTGGAAGGAACTTAATGTGTTCTTCCAAATTAACACATTTTCTCAAATTTCGCTTGAATCGGGAACATTTGATTTTTTCAACAGAAATTGATTAAACATCCAGAAACGAAGTCGCCATTAATAGATTACCTATTATTGACAAGAAATTTTAATAATAAATGATGAATAAATTATAATACTCATTATAACATTTAATCATTAACAATCATTATAATACTCCAATATTACGAAACAACTATAAGTTACGTTATAGTATACATATATTAATCGTTAATTTAAATAATCTGCAAGGTTTCATTGCGAACTGATTTTGAGGTTAGACTTAAATACAGCAACTAGCCACACCCCAATTATGTCTCTCCCTGTTTCATCAGTTTTATCTAACAATACGAAAAGCTCATTATTATAAATCACGACTTTTAGAACATAAACTGAATATGCTTCCGAAAAATATATAAAACTGTGTCATAGAAATTGATGAAATTCAAAACCCTTAATTTCAGAATCGGTTTAACACCGGAGAACAACGTCTGGGTCGGAGCATGGTGGATCGGTTTCCTAGCAGCCGCGGTGCTCAGTTTCGTGATCGCCATTCCGATACTGGCGTTCCCGGCATTGTTACCCGGTAGGTACATATTTCCAATCATTTCACGAATCCCATTACAAACCTCCTGTTTCTTCAATACGTTTACCGCAGAACCTAGCTTTCGTTGGCTACGCGCTGCAATTGGTAGCCAACGTTACCGCGGGAACTCGGCCAGCAGACTCGCTCTCTGATTGGTCGGGGTTTTTCGTTAATATCTCGTTAACAATGCATCAGATAACATTTTTGCTAAGGAAAAACTTGTTTCAAATCACCTCACGAGTCTTCCATTTCCGGGTCTTCCAACATTTTTGTTACACCCTGTATACTGCATTTGACATTTGAATCTGTGTTACGATAACGCGGTGTCGGTCATTGATGAGTCATCAATCAATGATGACTGTTTGAACTGCGGAGGTTTATACAAACATAGATTGTTGGTGATTAATTGACAGGAACTGGAGTCAACCCAAGATCGATTTACTTTATTTCTACCAGGTGCCAAAGAAAATGAAAACTTCTTCAAAACTGATCAAACTCTTTAAGTATAGGCTATGGTCCAGAATAAAAATTTAGCAGCTCATGCGATAATTTAGCAGCTTATACGCTTATTTAGTTCAAGCATTCAAAAATGTTCAGACTTATAATTTTATTTACGCAGATATAGCTATAAATGAACAAATTTTTATCAATTTTAGGAATCCTCTCCTATTACATCATCATTTACAAACAGATTTTTTGACATGTTCACAGAAGTATGAATTTTTAAGGAATTTTCTTCTATTTTCGACTGAGATTGACGACACGAAAGGATCCAAGGAGGACAGTAACACATGAGACAAATCTTTCAAAATTTTCAATACTGCCTCGTTATTATAAAATTGCATTTCTTTAAAACAATTACGAAATAAATGGTTAAACGATATGATTCTTGACTGAAATAATTTTGATTAGGTACTCTTACGTCTCCACTGTAAGCAGCCGCAAAGCCCATGTTTATCAGTTTGTCAGTTCAACAGTTAAGACTTATTAAAAAAAGGTTGAAACTATATTTCAAACGGTTGTAAAAACACAAATTGTCAAAATTTTTTCAAATCCTTCAAGGATACATTTTTGTATAACTACAGACAACATATCCAAGCTTTAACAAAAATCCAAAATCTTCCCCTAAAAGTGTCCAATTTCGCGTGGAATAACCTGTCGGTGAATGTCAATTAAACATTAAATTAATCGGCGAGAAATTTCGTTTCTTTAGGCTCGGAAGAACTGGCCAAGGAGAGAGTGTCGGAGGCACACGAGAAACCGAAGCAATCGGCCACCAGCGAAACGGGAGAGGCGTTTTCGAAGATCCGCGAACTGCCGCGCGCTTTGACCGAGCTGCTCGGTAACCCCGGATTTTTCATGCTGAATCTGGCAGGTGCCAGTGAAGGATTGCTGATCGCCGGTTTCGCCGCGTTCCTGCCGAAGCTGATCGAAAATCAATTCAACGTCAGCGCTAGCTCCGCCGCGTTGCTAATGGGTGAATAATATTGAGTACTCTCTGTTATAATCAATCAAACGGCCCACGCCCGAACCCCTACTGGCTGGTAGGCGTAATCGCCCTCATTTTTTTCCCCAGGGAATCGAAGCACTGTTCGGTAAAAAGTATCGATCGAACGATATGTTAACGTGTCCCCGCGATATAGGATCATTTTTGCACCATGTACAGGGTGTTTGAAAATTATATGTCACGGCTACCCTAGCGATATTCTACACCGGCAAAAGCCACTTTTTTCCATCCAGGGGGGGGGGGGTATTTTTATTTTATTTTAGGTTATTTTTTAGGTTATTTTTCCATCAAGGTGTATAAACAAAAGTTTCAAGGTATCAAGGGGGGGCACTAATGTAATAGTGTAGTTTTTTGCTATTGTGTTTTTATCGAGATACGAAGGACACCTTCGTCTCGATCGAAATCATCGATTTCCGTCATTTTAGAATCTGAAAGGTATTTCTTGGAACCGATACCAGTGATTTTCTCAAAAATCTAGCATTAAGTGATCAATTTAATTGCATTTTTCCACTTTTCCATATTGACATCTGTACGTCATAAAAATTTATAGATATTAAAAACTCTAATTTTCATGTGTCGAATATTTACTAACATTTTTATCATGTAAAGTTTGATTTTAATAATTACAAAATCTCTTAAGTGTTCATTCATTAGTGACTTTACCCTATTGCTCGCGATGAAACGTTTTTTCTCTACGTTTTTAGGTCTAGTTACGGTTCCCGCCGGTGGCGGCGGCACTTTCCTGGGCGGTTATCTCATAAAACGGTTCAATTTGCCCTGTTCGGGGATTTTGAAGTTCTGCCTCCTGGCCACCGCCTCTTGCATCGCCTTCACTTTGTGTTTTGTGCTGAACTGCCCGAATTTAAGCTTCGCTGGGGTCACGGTGCCTTACTCCGACCAAAGCAGGTGCGTTACTTTGTTTATCGATGTTTATGGAGCGCGTCAGCGATTCGAGGGCTCCATAAATCGTGCCTTGGTAAACTAAGTTTTCAAATTAATTCAAGGGCTTAGTGGACAAGGGTCACAATATTGCACCATATTATAAATTTACGCGACAGCTACTTTTAGGGTAACTAATTTTCTCAGGAAATTCGGAATTAACTCGTAGTTATTTTAATTGGTAATTGAAATAGATGGTAAATGGTAATTACTATCAAATATTGATTTGAAAATTCATATTATGTTACACGTTTTTTAACAATCTAAGAAAGAGATCGTCATAATTTTCTAATCCATGAAGGTCATGGAATGGACGATTGTTCGAGCTTGTTAATGGTGCGAAAAACTGAAAATCGATTTGGTAAACATTTAGAATAAGGGAGGCACCTCAGATGACCTTGACCTTGACATATGTTGCCAAGGTCACCCTCCTGAGGGATCTTCGGAAGGTTTTAACCGTCGCTCGTTTTTTATTAAAAAGTTATGAAGAAAAAAATTGTGTAAAAAGTAGCAGTTATTTGGAGTATTGGTAATCATTATAAAATGAGTGGGCTCCGCCCCTCCCACTGCATCCCCACCCGAGACAAACCTAACCCTAACATAACCAAATCTAATTTTAATATAATCAGTTAATTAAATTAGAGGTAGGTTTTTCTTGGGTTGGGGGTACAGTCCGTCCACGCAATTACTTAAAGGAACAGATATGTTAATAATATAATGTTTATACTATTTAGGTAAGATTTAAATTATGGCGTTAATCATAGACCTTTATATTGCGAAATTTATTCGTTAGTAACTTTTTCACAAATAACGAGCGACTACTAAAATTTTCTTAAGATCACTTAGAAGGGTGACCTTGACAACATATGTCAAGGTCATTGGAGCTGTTGAATAGTCAAAATAACTGCAGCATTTTGAAAACTTCTTTTGTTTATAACTTTTTAATAGAAAACAAGCGACGGGTAAAACATTCTGAAGGCCACTCAGGAGGGTGATCTTGACAACGTTTGTCAAGGTCAAGGTAATCGGAGCTACCTCCCCTAATCTAAATATTTACTTTTATAATCAAATATTAATTTTTATAACCATCGATTTAGAGTTGGCATCTGCCTTTTTTCCACCGAGCCCCTCAGTTGTAGAGTCTAAAGAACTGTGTTTATGGACCAACGAGTTTCGTAGTTCTAGAAAATCTTTCTCGTTGGACGACGCGTGCAATAACGGCTGCGGATGCTCGAGGTCGGAGTTCAATCCAATATGCGGGGTTAACGGAATCACGTATTATTCACCGTGCCACGCGGGATGCTATCAGGAGACGCAGATAAACAACGTCGAAGTCAGTGCTCTTTATGTGTAACGAAAAATTTGATAATGTGTTGATTGTGGTGACATAATTTTGCATGATAAAGGAGTAATACAGTTGACTAATAATACCGTACGCAATATAAGAATAAAATTCTTCTAATCGATTGTGAGGGTCGTCTACAGTAAACGTGTAGTTCTAGAAAATTTTGAAATATTTTGGAACACCTTGAAACACTTTGGAATATTTTAAAATGCTATAAAACACTTTGAAACACTTTGAAACAATTTAACACACTTTAGAATACTCTGGAATAGAAGAAAAGTGTGTCAGTTACTGGAGAACAATTTAACACACTTTAGAATACTCTGGAAAAGAAGAAAAGTGTGTCAGTTACTGGAGAAGCATTAGAGTAGTACTTCTAATACGTAATAACTTCCGTCCTAATTCTCTAATTTTTTTCATTCACATAACCCTTTCAATTATGTAAAATAATATTTCAATATACCACTGGGCAATGCATAATACACTAGATTTATTAACAAGCGTCTGCAATTAAAATCAATTAATCGCTAAATCTTCCATAATAAGCCGCGTGAAAGGAACAAAACAAAATGGCCGGCGTCTCGCCTCCGCCTCAAGCGATCAAATTACTATTTTCAACTAGAATTTACACACGACAATCCAGAATTTGTAAAAACATTCCCCAATTCCTATCCTAAAACTTAAAACTGACATAATATTTAATAAATATTTACAATAAGAGAACCATCTCCAGTTTCAATGATTTTTCAATATGCTGTCAGGGTCATCGCCCTGAGTAGTATTGTGAAGGTTTTAGTTGTAGATCGTCGTTTCTAAAAAAGTTACTTTTTCTTAAATTATCAGTCACCAACTCCGATCAGTATAATTCTTCAGAATTGGTAAGACACAGTTCAAGAAAAAAATATCATTCGTAGTTGGTTAGGGACAGTCGAAGAAAAAAAGTCATTCAGAGTTGGTTAAAGGCAGTTCAAGAAAAGGTATCATTGTTCTCTTAATAATTGTCTAATAAACATTTGATAACTGAAACTTTCTAAAGGTCACTTAAGACGGTGACCTTGACAACACATATATCAAGGTCATCGATTATTTTACTTATCAATAGTACTGAAACACGATAATAAAGTTTGTTTGATAATAACTTCTTTACAAACTGCGACCCCCAATCCCAGATAGCACATGACGCCTTGAAAACGGCTTAAAGACGCCTTAGACCTAAAATAGACGTCTTTAAGGCGTCATGTGTTATCTTGGACTAAAACCTTCACAATACTACTTAGGGTAATATGACCTTGGCAACATATTAAAAAATCGAAATCGGAGGTGGCTTCCTTATTGTAAATATTTATCCAATATTTTAATGTATTGCTGTATTCTTATTGGACAGGTATTTTCCGAATGCACGTGCATACGCGCGCCATCGTTGAACATGACGTCTGGGGATGATTTGGTAGCATACCAGGCGGTCAACACGACCTGCAACACAACCTGCTCGTATTTATGGCCGTTCATTGTCCTGGCTTTCTGCAACATGTTCATAACATTCCTCTGCACGATGCCCGCCCTCTCCGCGACGCTCCGAGTCGTTCGTGACGATCAACGATCCTTCGCCCTGGGCATACAGTGGATCAAAGTGAGGATCCTGGGCACGATACCGGCGCCCATGGTATTCGGTGCCCTGATCGACGACACCTGCATACTATGGAACGAGACCTGCGACGGCAGGGGCGCGTGTCTCGTTTACGACAATCTGTACATGAGCAGGTGCGAACGAATACTACGAAATCGATCGGATTCACAGCAATCTATTAGGTTGTTCGGAAAGTAATTTCGTTTTTTTGCATGAAAATGAAAGACGATTTTTTTTACAGAAAGAAACAGTTCTATTCAGTTATATATTGACCATTTTGTTCCAACACCTTTTGTCACCTTTCAGGTAATGAAGTGATTTCGTGCTTGTAGACCTTCTTGTCCTTATTGGCAAAAAACTGAATTAAGTGTTTTTTCATACCTTCGTTAGAATCAAAAGTTTTATCAGTCAAAGAATTTTGCAGCGACAAAATTCGACTAACTTGAAAAACGAAATTACTTTCCGAACAAACCACTAGATTCAAAATCGAGGATTTATTGCATGCATATGAAGTATACAGTAAATTCTTGATGAGTGTTCGAAGGCTCCTCGGCAATGACAAGGAGAGGTCCCTAGGTGTAACACTGACTTTTTAATGAAGTTTAGTACAGTGATAGAGCTTGGAATTCTGATGCCAATGATATTTCTTTCAGCCCAATATAGTGCCAAAGAGCCTTCGAACACTCGTCGAAAATTTACTGTACATTCCACCATCATATTCAATCCTAAATAAAATGAGAAAGACTCACTTTTAGCATACAGTTCAAAGTAACTATTATATCTAGATTTTCGTTCTTTAATCCTCGCGTTCCTGTGGCCGAGTCACTGGTGACCCGTCTATGAACACACAGTTCGAGTACCGTCTTATATGTATATGTACCTAAACATCTATTGTGAGATTCTTGTTTCGGGTCACAATTGACTCGGCCATCGGTCCGTACTCCGAAGGTTAAATGAAAAAAACACGCTGCAGTTATCTTTTCTTACGATCTATAACGAAGTACAGACATAGAATTTTTGCAGAAATTTTCTATGATATTTAACATGTGTAGATTTTATTTTGAAAAATGAAATAGTGTCGTTCTAGGGTGAAGTAGGTGTTACTGTTAAATGTTCTTGTTTATTGGCGTACCTTATGTTTCTGCATATTCTAGAACAAAAACATTTGCCTATTTCTAACGATAGCAGCTTGCAAATAAACATTGATTTTTTTAACGAAACACCATAAGGGTGCGTATCCTCGTATCATAACGCCGTTGTGTAGCAATGTGGACGAGGGCAAACGTTGCATCGTTGCGTATGAAAATGTATCGTATGGTGATACGATACGATCATACGCAACAAATGAATACGCACCTTAAGAACCATAACAGAAAACCATAAATTCATCTGAACGTCAAATGACGTCCTACGATCTTCAAAATGAAACTGATCGATTTGAATATATTTTTTATTTTTCTTAACCAATAATATTCAACTGTTGTACAATTACTGTTTCTGTTCACAAATATAACGAATAATTTTTTCCGGTTATCACTACAGGTACATGATGGCGTTAGCGTTTATAGGCAAGGCAGCGTCCCTTCTTTTCTTCTTCCTGGCCTGGTGGACGTACATTCCACCGGGTGGCAGAAGAAACGATCAAAATTCACGGGAGGAACCAACGACGACGTTGATGTTAAACGATACTCCCTCCACACCGGCCACCATAAGTCCGATAATCGAACCGTAAACAAATAATCCTGTTTAATTTGTTGAGAAAAAAAATGCCACGGGTCATCTTGCCTCCAAGTGGACAACGTTCAGTGTCGAATGTTTCATCGTAACACAGGTACAATTGCAAGGTACAGTAAATCCTCGATAAGTGTTCGAAGGCTCCTCGGCAGTTTTTAACGAGGTTTAACACAGTGATAGAGCTTGGAATTCTGAAGCCAATGATATTTGTTTCAGCCGCGTACGACCATTAGTTTATGAAATATTCAATGTTTAGAGCGGAGAAGCTTTTGAACACTCATCGAGGATTTACTGTACGAGTTTCAGACGAAACGCCTGTTCCGACTCTTCTGCAAGTCTACTAATCAGTCGGACAAAAACCTACCTTATCGTAAAAAAACTTGAAATAATATTGGCAATGGGTACCAAACCGAATACTGTAAACTCGCTATAACTGCCCGCTGGATAAATATACCCCATTCTCTGATGCCTTCTGAATCCAATAATTAGTCGAATGGCGACCGTTAACCGAGCAGCAAAAGAGATACAACATGCTCTCGATAAACACCCGTTTCTAGAACTGGCCACGCCTACAGCCCCAAATGCGGGTAATTATCGCGAGTTTACTGTACATAACGTTTTTTTTTGTATTGTATAGTTATCCAGGATAGTTTAGTGTAAAGTGTTTTTACTCTGTGTAAGAAGCGTTTCTATATTTCTATGAATTCTGTAGGAAGATGGAATGGATAAGTATTTATTTAACACTTTGTATTTCGTAGCTTCAATTATTTATTAACTTGTCAAGTTATTACTTCGAGCACGATTTACATTGATGAAAACCGAGCGAAACTATATTGGGATTGAAAAATTGTCTAAAACTGTACAGCTAACCTTTATACGATTCTTACTGAATAGGGTATGTACTTTGTGTAAGATACGTACACTGCCGCGATCGCTGTAAAGACCACACAAAAGTGTTTTTATTAAATGTCGTCGTCGAGACAAATATACACGAGTCTTTTCACCGGCAAAAGCATACGTGTGGGTACTATTTCCATGTGACATATTCTGTAAGTGCACTTGTAGTCCTTTTCGATGTTCATCGCTTACTAAATAAATCGAAATTAATCGATCCGTTAGATTTTCGATACGGTGTTCGTATAAAAAGAGAAGACATCAAACATTTGCTCTTAATGTGTCACTACGATGTTTGTAATGTATTATGGGATACAACCACTATCTTCGGTTACATAACCGATCACAACAGGGCGAAACTTCGTTTGATTTGAGCTACCTGTATACCTGTAATTTGAGCTAACCTAATAGTCCGTATGAGCCATTCAAGAAGTTTTGACATGTTATGGCTCATATGTGACTTTACCCAGATAGCACATGACGCCTTAAAGACGCCCATTTTACGGCTATTTTAGGTCTAAGGCGTCTTTAAGTCGTCTTCAAGGCGTCATGTGCTATCTGGGTATACACTCGGCAGTGTTTTATCAGGTTCGACGGAAAGTTCTGTAGCTTTTCCATCCGTATTTCGACGAAGAAACGATGAATATCTAGCCAAGAAGCACGGGCAATTCCCAGAAAAGTGAAATATCGAGACACGCGTTTTATAGGTTAGAATGAAATGCATGTAAAGCAAGCCGTGGATAGACAGAACTTGCCAACGAAGCCTGATATAATCCCGGTGTTTACGGAACGTCAATTAAACCCAAACGAACGTGTCCATCACAGATATAGACGTAATCGATGTTCAGGATAAGAGAGCGATACCACGTTTTTATATTGTTCGTAGCCACCCAGTGTAACTGTTATTTATATACCCGACAGATTGTTACTTCGCAGAGATCCCTCTGGAAGATATCCCTTTTCTACGAAGTTTGCGTAACACTTGTCGTGGCGTCGTTGTAAATCGCGAAACGAAAAGCAGCGTTTCGAAAGAATCGAACCGCTATATCATGTTACATGCACATATCTCACATACACGTGTTGAAACACGGAACAATATTCTATACAGCGGTTTTGTATATTGTGCTACGTCGCCCCATATCTCATCGTTTCGAAAAGATCATTTCGTAACGAGTTGACGTTACGTGTGGTGTGAATGCGCGAACGGATGGATTTGTTTATTTTAATATTGCCGAATCGAAGAGCTGCAAGCCACCGAAATCTATATGTGAGTGATTGAAAATGTGGAATTATTGGTGGATACATGGGAATTCCTTGTTGGAGATTTTGTGTCGCTGAACACGCGGGAACGCTTGTAGCAGCCTCGGATTGTGTAAATGTACAAACACAGGAACATATTGCGGACTGTCATTTACACGAGTTTGATATAATGCATTTTCTGCGATTTCTGACTGTAATTATTTTTGTTATGGGAAAGTAAGATGTTCAGCACGTCGGTTATACGTGTCACTAATAAAGAGTCAGTACAGTGTGTTACTATAGATGAAGTATCTATACCTCGATTTCCAGTTTCATTCTGATCCGTTTCCACCTACTTTATCCTGTTTCAAATCGTTTCAGCTCGTTTTGGTCCGTAGTAAACCTGTCCCGGCGTGCTTCAAATCAATTCCCGCCCTCTCTGATACGTTTAAATCTGTTGTCGTCCCCGTCTAACTCACTCCATGCTACTGCAGCCTCCTTCAGCCCGCTAGGATGATTCTGGTCCGATTGTATATGATTCGGTTCAGTTTAAATTTGATGTTTGTTGCAGGAAATCACTGTTTTTCCATAGTAAGTACTTGTATCCACCTGGCCCAACAGGTTCTTGCGACCTAGTGCTCAGGTACAAATAGAAATTCAATTATACGGTAAATAAGAAATATCAATATAGTATAGTACTCATACTTTGATTCTGCTTGAAGTATGCCCAATTAGTGGCAAGAATAGTATATGTACTGGTGGCGTCCTCCGTAAGTGCCCTAAGATACTTATTTTACTTAAATCCTACTTATCTATATAATTTTACAATATACTTCTAATGATATTTATATAAATTCAAAAAAAGTAGGCTTAGATATTAGTAAGGCTTATGAAATATTGTAACGTATATGCCGCACATAATTCCCTCCCCTGTAACTTGCAAATCTTCCGTACCGTCTTCAAAGCTTCGTAAAGGTTTTATAAGTTTGTCGCCGAAATTTTGATTACCGGTGGCATACGATAGACGTGTGTAATAATTTGCAGTAGTGCTCTGCCGGATTCAATCAGTTGTTACTATATGTGAATTACGGGACAATGAACGGTAGTGAAATGGCTTGCGTCAGTACACGTTTGAAACGTGATCCTTTATCGCTGTAACTCGTACAACTCTCGAGCTCGGTCGAATGTTGCTCGTGCAACTGTCGAATTGGGACTGACGCTTGTGCATGTTCCCGTGAGAAAATTATATAGTAACCCCAGCAACCATGGCAGTTTCTTCAGATACTACTACAGCCCAAATTTAAAAGACGTAGGCAGTAGTTAGTTTCTGTAATAAACCAGAGACCCCGTGTGGTGAGTCGTGGGGTCACAGAACCCCCGGTGGAGGCGCCAGAGTCCCCGCGTGGTGAGAACGTGGGGTCACAGAACCCCGGCAGGAAGCGTCAGAGACACCTGTGGTGAGACCGTGGGGTCATAGAATCCCGCAGGGGGCGTCAGAGACCCGGTGAGTGAGGAAGTGGGGTCGTAGAACCCCCGAAGCATACGCAAGAGTTTTGAAACGTGATCCTTTATCGCTGTTGCTCGTACAACTCTCGAGCTCGGTCGAATGGTGCTCGTGCAACTGTCGAAATCTGACTGACACTTGTGCGTGCTTCCGTGAGCAAATTATATAGTAACCCAGCAACCATGGCAGTTTCTGCAGATACTACTACAGCCCAAGTTTAAAAGGCGTAGGCATAGTAGTTAGTTTCTGTAGTAACCTGTTGAACCAGGCAACTATAATTAGTATAAGATTGTACAATATTTATGCAGTTATATTTAAGACAATTGGATGAAATGATGCTTATATTACCTGACGTATGTTTATTGGAATATACACATATACATATAAATTATGATATAAAAATTTGAAATACAATACGATGCGCTACGGTACAATACGTCTATTCGATTCAATTGCTCTATTGCGACTATAACATCATGCTATCCGCGTTCGGCGCAGTGCGCTAATACGGAGGCCAACGAAATATCACTGTAACACTTAAAAAAATTTTAAAGTTCCTGCATGTAAAAAGTAACATTAATAAAATGCCCATTAACGATGCATTTAGAATAAATCGTCTTGTAGTTAAGTGAAAAAATATATACTTTTCCGTTTCATGTTTCATGACTGTCATATTTATCCCTTAAACCGAAGCATCGGACATTTTTATTCCCGTCAAATCATATAGATACACGCAATATGAATGGAATATATAACACTTCATTTGTGCTAATAATACTCAGAATTCATGCTTTATTGGTAACGTCGGGTATTGACACTAAAATGGTAAGGGGGCTTCTGACGCCCTCGAAGCATGGACAGAAAATTACATTGCATGTTAGATCTATTCTTATATCTCGTCTGCGATATTACGTCATATGGTAGGCGCTCGTTTATTGCAGTCTTCGTGGTTATAGAGGGCCAGAATTCCAGGAATATTGTAATATCTCATTAAATATAAACGGTGCGGTGGGAACAATTTCAGATTCGGAAGGAGCAAATTGGGGGCAATTTTTTGAGATATAAATCGTTAAGATACGTTAACATTCGGCGCCAACTATTCTGCGGTAGCGAGTGGACAAGTGTCGTTTGTACAATATCGTTGCAAATTTATATACCATACAAAATGATAGTTACGTAGTGATAATATAATTAATAACATAGCAAAGGAAGTGTAGAACCATTACACATTAAGGTAGTAGACTGCCATCTATAGATATATCGTTATCAAGGTAACTTGACAATCTGACGTTTCTCGCTGGAAGTTTTATCTGTTTGCATTCATCGGCGCAGGTACAAAGAGACGGCCTTTCGTGTGCAGTTTATTACAAAAATGGTTCAGGGAAGATAGCATCGGCCAAAATGAATAAAAATATGAATTCACCGTCTAAGCTTACGGAGTTCGCTCCGTTAAGTCCCGAGGAGAGTCAGCCTGTTGTAGCTTCGTTATTTTCGAAATTCTTCAGCTTTACTAGGAGTAAGATTTTTTCTAATTTTACGAGAAATTTAAAAGTAACAATTAAGACATAAGTACATGGATTTTTAATTAAGATTTATTTATTTATTAACGTATTTTTCATTAATATCCGAATGAAGATTATATGATGGATGGAAGTTAATTAATTTGTAGGTTCTCAAAATGTCGATGATTCTACAATCTCATCTACTAATGAGGAACAAAGCTCGTCGGATTCTGAATCGTGGAAACAATCAGAAAGTACTGAAAAAACACCGGAGGATGACAGTTCTAATATGATGATCTTTCCACTGGATACTCGTGAAGGAAGAAGCTTACCAAATGTTTTGAAACGTATCAGTAATATAGTCGCTCTGAAAAGTACTGTGAGTTATCTTTTGCGTGTTATGGAATGTGCTGTGAATGATTCAAGATGATAACACTACTAATTAACAGCAGAACCTGCGCTCGTATAAAGACTCCCAATTAAGGAGTTACTGGATGCCTGACAGTGTAAGCAAACAATGCTATGAATGCGGAGAACGGTTTACAACATTTCGCAGAAGACATCATTGTCGTGTCTGTGGTCAAATATTTTGTTCGAAGTGCTGTTCTGATCAGATCCCTGGAAAAGTTATGGGGTGCACTGGTATGCAAATATGAAATAATATATTGTAACTAAGAATAATGTTGGGGCTAGTAATTGGATGAAAATTATAATTCAGATTGATTGAACATAAATTAATTCAGAAGGGTGTCAGTCCTAGTAATGACAGATGCATTGAGTGGTTTTGTATGTTTCCTATTTGTTGTTTGAAAATGTTACATTATTAAACGTTTCACCCCAGGTGATCTTAGGGTCTGTACATATTGTTGCAAAGTTGTTTTATCTTATTTACAATCGTCGGACATGAGAAGCGATCTGTCAGAAGATTTGAAAGCTTTGCAAGAAGATCTTCAAGTTAAATATGGAAATGACCCACCACCTATGGCTCAGATAAATCCGAATGAATCTGTAGAAGATGAAACATCGATTTGTAGGAAACCAAGCGTTGGATACATGGAGGAAAAATATGCTATTGGAAGGTATGGTTTTTTTATTAATCTTATTCTCATTGTGAAATTCTGTATTTCTTTTCAAACTGGGAAGAAACTATAAGTATTTCATAAATTTGCTTTTCAGATCAGCAAATAGTTATTTAACGTCGCAAGAACGTTCGCTTGTATTACAAAACTCAGCTTCATTGAGAATGATTTACGAAGAGCTCTTTAGATCGAGTCAAGCAATTCTTTTACAAACGCACAGAATTAGACTGAAAAGCTATCACAATTGCTTCCTAGCTAGTGAATTAGTAAACTGGATGATAGCACAAAATAAAGCAGCCACTCGGTATTAAATTTAGCGAACAGAAAAACAAAAAGCAATCGTTCGAGTTTAATATTAAAATATTATTTTCTTTAGTGTCCAGGCTACCGCTATAGGACAAGCGTTGCTAGAAGCAGGTTTTATCGAGCCAGTCCTTGCTGACAATGTATTCAGTGATACAGCAACCGTGTTCAAACCAGTAAAATTATCACAGATGCAAAGTATGGATTTGTTAACTGAAACTCAAACAACCTGCGACGCTCAAGAGCCTGCATGGGTGAAAACGATTCCGCAGCATGACTCCACGACAGGTACCAGCATTTAACGTTACTTTTAATCCGCAGACACGAGATATATCAACGGAAATATATATTTCAGACTCTGAAAACGAATCGAAACCTTCGAATGCAATACAACAACCCACTGGACGTTTACCATCCTCTAGTTCTAGTTTTTATTTAGACCTAAACTTGGAATCGTCTACTGTAACGTTAAAAAGGCCGACCTCCGAAGATTTAACTGCAATATCTGTAGATAGTAGCGACGGTGTAATTGATCAGAAAGAAGCCTCAGTAAAATCACATAAATGCAACTCGAAAATCGCCGATGACCTGTTAAACGACACGCTGCAAGTACAAGAATTTAAAGAAAGAAATGGTTGGCACAAACCATCGAACCTTAGGTCTGCCTTAGGAGAACTATACGCATACGAGTGTTTAACGTAAGTGTTACGTACAATATTATCTTGAGATTACAAAGACTTAAGTGTCTTGCGTACGATGGATTGCAGATCGGTTTATAAGCAGCACGAAGATTCGTTGATCAAACAACTTCTCAATAAAGAAGGCTTGTCGCAGACCTGGTCGGAAACGATACTTCCGATTGCGCATCAGGTTGTCGACTTCGTGAGGCCGGATCTGAATCACAATGTCGATGATCTGGATATTCGACAGTACGTACAAATAAAGAAATGTTCAGGCGGTAGTCGAGACGACTGTGAAATTGTGTCCGGTGTTGTTTGTAACAAAAATGTCGCGCATCGTGGAATGAACGCGATGATAGCTCATCCGAAGATTCTGTTGCTTCAATGTGGGCTCATGTACCAACGCGTGGAAGGAAAATTATTAAGTTTAGAGCCCGTGATGTTGCAAGTATGAACAAAAGTTTGTCGATACGCGGATTAGTATTATTAATTTATTTTGTAACAACAAAAATTCTCGTTTATAGGAGAATGAATATTTAGGGCATACAGTGGCTAGAATCACTGCTCTTGGCCCGGATGTTGTGCTCGTACATCGGTCCGTATCGAGATTGGCGCAAGACAGGCTCCGAGAATGCGGTGTGACGCTCGTTTTGAATGTGAAACTCAGTATTTTAGAGAGAGTCGCGCGATGCACGGGCGCGACTATTGTGAACACCATTGATGCTCATATAAGTGCAAGATATATGCTTGGCACATGTAAAAAGTTTTATCTGCGAAATTTTTCGTGCGATAAAAGTGAGTGACCAGAACGGACGTAGGGTAAACCAACCAGTGAATGACCGAATTGTTGAATTTCTGGACGTTTAAGATTAATACTTGAATGTATTTATTTATAACAACAAAACAGTTGCTGAAATTGCATTTAAATTTATTTTTCTTGAAATTTTTATAAAAATAGTTACTTATCCTTATCGTATTTTTTTTTAAATTATTTATAAAGTGTAAACGTGTAAAAGCCCAGTGAATGACTGCTACATTTCTAAAACATTTTTAATAACAATTGTACTTTTACTAATGTTTGCTTAATACGCTAAACTAAAAATATGGGATATTAAAAGTGCAACAACGCTCCATTTATAAACATTTAATAATTTTTAAATTTATAATTTACATTTCTCGCCTAATGATCATTTACTGGTTGGTTTAACCTAATTGTCTTTTTAATTTCGGTTGAATTAGAATTTGTTGATCTGTTTTGTAGATGGTATTAAAACATTGATGTATTTCGAGGGGTGCGCAAATCCACATCTTGGAGCTACAATCTTACTACGAGGCGGTTCTCAAACGGAGTTGAAGAAAGTAAAGAATGTAACCTCAACGATGATTTTCGCGGCCTATTCGTGGCGTTTAGAAAAGTCGTTTCTTATGGATGAATTCGCAAGGCCACCGTCCCCTAAAGATAATTCGTTTTTGGATGAAACATCACATAAGGATTGTAAGGATTTCGAAGAATCTAGTAAAATGTTGCAGTCTAGAACCAACGAAGACAATGATGATAGAAAGAGTACTGACAGCGACGAAATTATGAAAATATCAAAAGTTGAGAAAGATTCTGGAACATCGTCGACCGATCGACACAGCATTGAAATTGAATATCCAGCTAACAGAAGTACACCATTGAAAGATAGAGTTACAGATCAAGTGTACAGTGAGAATATGTTAAACGCAAATTCCGTTAAACAGATATCTTCTATGCTATCCGAAGATATTGATCCTTACGACACTTTAAAATTATTCAAGCCTAAAACAAAGTCCTCTGTAATTAATTCAATAGCCACGGAAGATGGAACGACAAGTAAACTATCACACAATAACGACAGTTTAGATAATACTTCGGGACTTGGTACAGAATGCAGCGAAGATCAAAATAGTACAATGGAATTGTTTGGTGGTAAATGTGGGGAGTCGGTGACCAAAGAAATCGACGAAGACACCGAGAAACCAAAGATGCGGGATAAAGTTGTTCCAGACGAAAAACGCATTTATGGCGAATCAATTAGCGATCGAAGCGATCCTTTGCATCAGTATTTAAACGAAGACGAGGACGACGTCTTCAGTCAAACTAGTCCAAACGGTCAGCATTTAAGTGTTGCTGACCTACCATTATTGAATAAGTTTAAGAAAGCGCTAGAGGGTACGATATTAAGTATTTCGCCTTATTTAAAATTTTCTATACCTTATTTGGAAACCGAGACAGGAAGAAATTGTGTGCTACGAAGTTTCTTTCCAAGGGACATTTATTACTCTGTACAGTTTCTGGACAAAGTGAAAGAGATCAAGGCTGGCAACGCATCCGCGGAACAGTCCGGTATTGATAATCCATTGACGAGATTGAAACTGAAGCCACAACATCCGTTTGTCCAAGCAAGGCTAACCACGGACGTCGATAGTCGGGAGGTGCAATCTTTATTAGCTAATTTTCGAGCGTGTGGTAGTCGATTGTATCCGACGAATAATGTTCTGTCGGACAAACCACCGATTATAATACAGTCCGACGTGAACGACCAAACCCCCGAGTGGCCCGATTGTTTGGATCCAGGTAGTCACCAACGTCTTTCTGTGTTGTTTTGTAGTTTCTCGAATACCGGAAACGATACACCAGCGTTCTGCGTGAATCCTTGGGTAGTCAACATGGATTTGTATGGCCGAAATGATATCGCCCTGGGACGTTTTTTGGAACGTTACTGCTTAACGTCCGAGTACAAGTGTCCAGCTCAGGCGTGTCGAGCACAAATTGCTCAGCACGTTCGACGATTCGCCCACGATGGAGGGTGTATACACATTAGTTTAAATGAAATGAGCACCGAACCGTTCGCCCAGGAGAACGCGAATCAAATCTTAATGTGGAGTAAATGTATGAAGTGTAAAAGCGTTTCGCCAGTGGTACCAATGTCGGACGACACATGGTCCCTGTCTTTCGCCAAGTATCTGGAACTACGTTTTCATGGGAACGCCTACACCAGACGAGGTTCGGACACCTGTCAACATTTGCTCCATTACGATCACTATCAATACTTCACCAAGAAAAACATGCTGGCCGTGTTTAAATATACGAAGATATCCCAATGGGAGATTTCTCTGCCGCCCCCGTTGATAAACGTCATATACGAACCGAAGCAACACGCCGACGTGATCGAGGAGATGAAAAGCTTGACGCTGAAAGGGGACGAAGTTTTCTCGACTATACGGGAGAAGTTGACAACATTGCAGACGGACATGGACAGCTTGAATGCTGCCAAGCAACAGTTGACGAAGGATCAGCAGTACTTCAAAAATAAAATAGAAGAGATTCAATTGAAATTGACGTCCCCGACATTGGAGAATAAGAAGCTCGAAGGGAAAGTGTCCGAGAAACAAGTTCAAGCGTTAATGTTTAGAATCGAGGATGGTATTGTGATTCTTAAACGATTGATATCCGAGGTTGTGTTCACCTGGAACGCGAAAATCCTGGAAATGTCCGTTAAGAAGAAGGACGAACGTCCACGAAGGTTCACCGAACGGTCGTTAACAACTGGAAGCAACAGCATTATCGACACCGACGGATATATTACAGAAGACACCGCTTCGGAATCGCAGATCGAGGATCTAAGTCCTATGTCAGCCGATTACAATGCTATTGATGCTATCGCAGCTGTACAAAATGATTTACCGGGAATGGAAGGAATAGAGAATTCAGACAATGAACTTTTGGAAAGTAATAATCCTGATGATATTGTCATCGTCCAGGGATCACCAAAAATGCATCAGAGATCGCACTCTGATGTGTTGCCTCTGGCTGTGGAGGATATGCCGGATAAAAAGAAGAAGAAGAAAACAATTCTGTCGCAGTTATTGCCCTCCGTACCTGTTACTCAACCAATACCAAATCCTTTGGGATCATTGGAGCATCATTTACTTCCTCTTGGGTATGATAATATTAGAAAACTTTTTACATGGTATATAAAACTTTCACTGTTTGAGCTAATAAGGAGACAAGACTCTCGTGAATTGATGTTAAATGAACTTCATGTTTTAACGTCCCACGTACACAAAGCTTTAACTCTTTATAAGGTCGAGTTAGGTTTATCTGTAATTGACAAACTCAAATTGACAGAAATGAAAAATTGGTGGTGACATGATTGCCACTGCCTTATAGACGGTTAAAGCACATAAACTTTTCAAGAAAATATTATGTTCAGGATAACGAATTGTTTAATTTACTGTAATTTAATGCTCGAAAATATTTCTTACAGTTCAGTTGTGCCCATAGTGGTGTACGAATCGGAGCCTTCGTCTATAATCGCGTACGCGCTTGACTCGCACGACTACAAACACGCGTTGCACGAATTGATGCGTACAACAAAAGGGCCTGATTTAAATCCGAGCCCTTTGAATAAACGGAAGTTCCCCGAGAATAAAGAGAATCTTCCCGACATCATGCAATCAGGTGAATTCAAACGACCGTCCGTTTTGTCGTTCTTCCGTGGAAACAGCCCGAATCCAGCGAGCCCTATAGACTCTGACAAAAGTGTCTCGAACATGGACTCGAACACACAGAGTCCAGCTGTAACATCAGAGACAGAAGAAGACAAAAAAGCAACCAAACAGCAGAATTACATCGAAGTTCAATTCAACGACGCGACAACTAATTTCTACTGTAGAATATACTTTGCCGCGCAATTTGCTGCTCTCAGAGAAAGCGTTTTACCATGTGGAGAGGACAGTTACACGAGAAGTTTGAGTCGAAGCATACAATGGGTTGCAAGAGGTGGAAAGAGCGGAAGCAGTTTCTGTAAAACTCGAGGTACGCAGTCATTGTGTAGAGTATGGTGTCATAGTTTCATATAGCGTACTACAAAAGTAATTATTTTTGGTTACATGACACATATAAGGTTGTTCAGTAGTTTCCAAAGAACATCTTACAGCTGAATCACACACTTTGTGCGTGTTTCGTTGAATTCATTTCAGCTTGTTTTCTTTACAGATGACAGATTTATTATAAAAGAAATGTCCAGGTTAGAAATGCAAATATTTCTTGACTTTGCACCGAATTATTTCGCCTACATGGAAAAATGCCAGCAGACCAGGCAACCAACGCTATTAGGGAAGATAGTGGGTGTTTACAGAGTATCTTTTAAAAATAACACGACAAACGCAGCACTACGCACTAGCGTACTAGTGATGGAGAATTTATTTTATAACAGAACTATAACAGACAAATTCGACTTGAAAGGATCGGTGAGGAATCGGCTTGTAAATCCTGACGACACCAGTCAGGAAGGGGAGCTTGTGTTGCTTGATGAAAATTTATTAAACAGTTAGTAGACCCTCGTTTGTGGTTTTGGGTGTCATTTGTTTTCAGATATATAAATAACGAAATATTTTTAGTGAGCTGTGACTCGCCACTCTACATCCGATCACATTCCAAGGCGGTTTTAAATAGAGCCATTGAACAAGACACAAAGTTCCTGGCTGATAATTCTGTGATGGATTACTCACTGCTAGTTGGTTTGGAGCCAAACTCAGATGAACTCGTGTTAGGTATAATAGGTAAGTCTAAGCAACATTTCTTCCGAGTCCAGAGCTCGTTAACTTAAAAAACGTGATGATTTTATAGATTATATACGAACTTTTACGTGGGACAAGAAATTAGAAACAATGGTGAAAAAATCAGGTATTTTGGGCGGCCAAGGAAAACTGCCAACAATAATATCGCCGGAAGAATATCGAGCTCGTTTCATAGCAGCTATGCACCGATATTTCTTGCCTGTACCAGACAGGTGGTCCGGTTTAGGTAGAGGTGTGGAAACGTGAAAGACTCAATCAGTATGATTTACAATTTTGTTCAAACATCGTATAGGGTGTTTGCGTGATTATTTCTTTGTAAGCATATTGAATGTAAGGCTGCTAATGAATCTGATACAGTGGGGAGTGGTAAAGTTATATTTATCTATAAACAAAAAAAGTATTGGAACTACTTTCGTAGCCATTGCAAATATATCGCGTACTTTAGAATTGTTCAAAATTTTAGTTTTATATCTATTACAAAAAAAATAATAGTGAAACTTTCTTATTAAAATACCAGATAATAATCACGTTAACACCCTATACACTAGATACATTGTATATATATTTTCTATGCAGCTGACATGAATGTAACAAACAGTGTTGCATATAAAGATACATAATGTATATGGATATTTTATGGAATTACTAGTCCATTACAACATTTTGTAATGAAGAAGTCATAACAATGAGTTACCATTATCGTAACGCGAACCCCTGCTGTATACTCTCAGTTCCATAAATTATGTAGTTTAGTAAAATTATCTAGCATATTTAAATCACATCATTTGTATTTGTACTCATTAGCACAATAATTATTATATCACATGTGTATAACAAATTTATAATAAACTTTACAAGCAAATCTCGTTTCGGAAGCTCGAAAAACTAAAAAAAAAAAGGGCATATGAATGAGAGTCAGATAAAATTATATGAAAGTCTATGAAAGCACCATTATTAATGTTTTATTTAGATCATTTTTTCAAAATTATGTACATGAACATTATTTATTATTATTGATACTCAAATAAACAATAATAATAATATAATATAATTATAATGAGTTTTAACATAATAGTATTTTCATAATAGTCGAGACCAGTGTTCCGAAATTTGCATACCGTCAAAAACAAACAAAATATTTTCTAAAAAAAATATCGTATCGCGCGCCAGTACAATTTTCTAATACATTATACACATTTTACAATCAAGTCACAACAACAAAGTATATATATATATATATATAATATAAACTATATTTTTTCCTGGAAAGAGATTGCGGAACACTGGTCACATACATTACAAACACAAGGAAGATATTAAAGCGTATACCTTACAGAAAAAAACATCTTATCGCACATAATTCGGTACGACGTTAATCTCTATCATATTTACATAAATGAATGCATAGTGATGAAGCTGCAGCGAAACTCGAATACTTGAACTATTTCATCCGTGAAAATTAGATTATACTGATCACAGTATGTGTCTCTCTCTTAAATTCATTGAGACCGTAACGCTGATCGTGGACAAACGACTTTGCAAACTGTGTGATTGAAGTGATTAACATTTTTCGATAGATTTCTTCACAGTTAATCCTTATCGTGTCGGGCCAGCCTGTCCATCCATCAACAATGACCATTTTCATTCCATTGTTCTTAAATTAATCAAGAATTGTAGATGCAGTGTGCGAGTTTAAATAAACTATCGTGGGGAGGGAAAAAAAAAAGTCATTCAAGCAGATCGAAAAAAGACGTGAAAAGACTTCAGTTGCGAGTTACCGATTGCCGGTATTTATAAACAGGGACGACCGAATGTCAAAAAACATTCTTTTTTTTTTTTCATGTATTACATACTGTTCTCGGAGGTGGAATTACAATAAGCTGCCGCGCACGAATTTCAGCGAATTAATATGAAATTTACGATGAAATCGTGTACACCGTGAAACGGGGGCAGGCAGTACGAAATCCTCTCTATTCGTAATTGTGTAAATTCAATTGACGGTGAAACAGCTCAGCTAATATGGCTCCACTGCTTTATTTTCTCTGTAGAAAAAAAATAACCTACACTGGATACTATCTGAGCAAGTCATCTCTCTGTGGGTGTTTTTGTGTGCATGTGTGTGTTACGAATGACAGTGAAGTGAGTTCGTACGTTGTTCATTTTCTATACGTTCGTTCAAATAACTTTACATAAATATATACCTAATGGACAAAATTACGTACTGAATAAATTTCTTTTTACAATTTTTTTTACATAATTATAATTTGTGGTGGTTTCTCATTCACTATAATTAAAGCCCCGTATCTTTACTTATTTTTTTTTTTTATTTATTCATCGCTCTCTTATAGAGCTTCTGAACAAACTCTTCGCTTTCGTTACGCCTACGCTCGTTACAAAACAATACACGCTGATAAGATCAGATTTCGGTGTTGATCCTCCCTTGATCGGGGGTTCGATCGTCGTTGACAGAGAACGGGGCCACGAAAGGGACACAACACCAGTGTCGTCAGATCGTTCCCCGGACCTTTTCATAAGATCCCTGACTTGGCCAGGAATCGAATTATTACGTACACGATGATATTCTCTCTCTCGTTCGACCTATTTTTTTTTTTTTTTAACAAAAATACGAAACTAACCTTCTTCATCGCTAAGCGCCTATCCAGTGCCGGCAATTTTTTGTACTATGGTGTGGTGGAAGTGGTATCGTTAAATTTCTCATTGACTTCCGCGGTTCACACAGGGACCGCAACGGAAACGAGAGAAAAAACAAAACTACATTTCCTATCTAGCCGCGAGTCTGTAGATCGAGAAACAACGAGGAAGATACCCGGGACGGTGGAGGAGGCTTCTCGCTACTCATTTACAATCCAAGCGGCGTGTCTCTGGACGCATTACTAATTTCATAAACGCTAAAGGAGTATCGCTGTCTTTCATAATCGTAGGAACTACCGTCCCGTAGCGCGTTTAGAGGAGTGTGTAATATGTGTGTATGAGAGAGAGGGAAAGAAAATAAACGAAGAATAATAATAAAGTCTTCATAACCTCCCCTCTCTCGTTCTGCGTCTTAATCACCTGGCATACACATATTTACCGACGGAAGAAAAAATTGTCTCGAGAGTTCTTAGAGGGCACGACGATCGCGATCGTCATTATCGACGCACCATCAAAGAATAACAAAACAATCGAGGATGGTGTGTTTATGTGTGGTGTATGTGTGTGTGTATAATCAGCTACTAGAGATCCACGTATACGCCGTGATTCAAATATAATAGACCGTTTTAACGGAAATCGCTTCTACACGCGCTAAATAAATCAGGGTTTTTATTTTTTCCTCCTAGGTGCGCATCGTCTAGGAAATCCTGCGTCCATTTTTTAGGGGGGGGGGGGGATAACGAGCGCGTGAATTGAATCTCGGTTATGATCGTTCGTCGTGTCACACACCACAGCGCGTGTTACCCTGGGAGCAGTCTCAGTCGACTTTTTTTTTCGTTAAACCATGCCTCCTCGTCGTTCGAACGCCGTTAAAAGTGCACATATCGCAATAACGACCACCTCGGGGATCTCGCGCACAGGCCGCCGAGTGACCAGTTTTTTTTATCTCTGCGGTTCACCAAGACCGAATTGTTGTTGATTCTGCGTTTGTTGCTGCGCGTTCCCGGTCACGCTACACCGTCCGCCGTGATGCTGCGCCGGTGTGCCAATCTGCATTGAGTTCTGATGCAGCCCGTTTTGACTCGGTGACATTCCTGTAACGGGAACAAACAGCTTTTCTTTTTATTTGAAGCATATCCGATCCCAAAGTTAGTTATTTGCTTTGGTGTTCCCCGGTGGAAAGTGTATAAATAGTCGGGAGTCGTGTAATCGATCGGGAGTTCAGGTATAGTGGACTTTAACTATATTGCCACTGAACAGATTGCCACGCAAGGCACTTCCCCTTTACACGTACTTTCGAGCACAGAAATTCGCTCTCCCACCACGTTGCGTACGCCGACGTACCAGCACGATTCAGCTTTTGCGCAGGCGCCGAGGCAGAGGCTATGGCGATGGAACTTAGCATGGAGGGGACTCTGAACTCATTGCCATTTTACTCCCCTACAGCCCTGACCAAGGCAATATATTTAGAGTCCACTGTAATAATTTTGCGGACGCTATTAAACCAGATCGATAGACTTTTTAATGGAGGCAAATACATTTCTCTGTTTTGTTTCAATATCCCCAAATGGGTTTTTAAACGTTTACAGCTATGTGTATAAACAGCCGTAGCCTAATTCTAGTAAATGGTAACAATTCAGTAAGGCAGTAAACCTAACAGCGCTATAAGTAGAGGTTAGCCTGATATATTTCGTTACAGAGGTTAACTGAGAAAAAGTGAGGGAGGCAAAGTATTAAGCAGGGCAGCGAGAAATTAACATTTCGATCAAAATCCTTTTCTTTACCTCCAGTTCTTGAAAGTTTTGAAAAATTTAAAAGCCCGTTTAGACGTTCAAATAAGTTGCGCAATCTGACTTGTGCATTACCCGTTTAGTTATTTTAATTTTCTACATTGCCATCGCATTGTGTGGTTAGTGGTTTTTGACTGGGAAGTGTATTGTATATTTTTCTGAAATGGAGAATATTGATGAAAATGAATAAAAATTGTTAAAATTAATATTTGCTTGCACAAATGTGAATGCACAAGTCAGTTTGCGGAAATTATTTGAACATGTAAACTTCCCTTTAGACGCCAACCATTTGCTTACGCACATGTCAATACATAAATCAGTTCGTGCAAATTATTTGAACGTGTAAACGGGCTTAAAGATGATCTTAGAATCAAATACTTTGATTCTAACCTCACTTATTATACCGTTAAGTATATACCGTATAAACGACTGGTTAGATAGGTCACTTCTATTTTGTACCTGTACATGCGTAGACGTATCACAGCACATTTCGGGAACAGTGATTGTCGGAAATTGTGAGGAGAGTGGGGGTTCGTTGGAAAACATGTCAAAGTGAAATTAAGGGATTAGTTTCTGCGATGGTCAGTTTCATATACGCGATCATGAATAACAAATCGTATGTGCTCGTATTTAAATATGAAGTCGCCAATTTTTTTATTTTTTATTTCTAGGCGTGTACAAGAAGTGGTTCACTTAATTTGTGCTTGTGAATTTTTAAGAAGAAATTTTGTGTAAAACAAGATTATATCAAAGAATTTTAAAGATATTTTAAATAGCGTTCACGAGCAGAAAGTAAGGTTTTGAAAATATTCTTACAATTATTGTGGCAACATGTGAGGATATTAGACCAACCATTGTACGATGTACAGAATTTAATATTTTAAACGGAACGACGGATGAAGTTGTGGTAGTTGTGTGAACTAACGGTCGATATTCGCAAAGTGCAACAATGTTTCCCACTCTTCACTAAAATCGATTAGTGCGCGGCGAAAAAAAACACGTCTGATTCTACGTCGTGTTGGAAAATTCCGGTGAAAATAGCATTGTGATTCAACGAAAAATGACGATGCAGATGGCGATGATGCATCCATCGAATAAAACGAAGACGATTTATACGAATAATAAGTTCCGAGTCCGAGTAATTTCGAATCGAAATAAACAGAAAGTTCTGTCTTGGCTCTAACTTGAATTCCAGTTTTATTCTCGCGAAAATAAGACCATGCAAAAATATATACTTAACCCTCCGTAGGCAAGCATTATTTCCTTCACATTCCGTAGGCATATTAAGTTATGTCCAAGCCTAATTTCTTCTTACAATTATAGACTTTCAAAAAATCTGAAGAAATTCTAGAGTACCCATAAAAGTCTCTACTACATTGTACAATCCACGCATTTCCTACAGAAGGATAAATCGGTTAATCCTGAATCTTTTCAGGTAAAATCGGTTAATTTATAAATTTTCGTAAAGTTTCGAACTTTTGGTGGCCATGTGACGTAGAGAATAGGAAAGTGTATTTGGTGCCATGGCGGAACAAAGAGTTCCCTGCCATGGTAGTAATTAAAGAGTGAAACTTACCCGAGGGAGTTTTGTCGCCGGCGGACATTTTGGAGAACGCGAGTAGCGCGTCGGGGAAATTTGGCGGCGTGGCCGGTGTGTTGCACGGCGTTATCTGCGAAAGAAATATATAGTTTTACGACTTTCGAGCGTTTCTGTGCCTTGATACATGCTGCCGCCGTGCTCTGATGCATCTCGTTTATGACTTTGTTTGTTTACGTTCGCTGGCGGATCGCGTGTGCCGTTATTTAGGTCGAGACCAAGGCGCATGACTGCCTGTGCTCGGCGAACATAGATTCTCTTTATTTTAGGATCGATAATACCCTACAATGTACCCCTTTCGCGTGTACTTTGCTCGGCGTAAGGTAACGACAAGACTGTACTACCGGTGATCAGCGTAGCTACAGGATGATTCACGGGATCGTTCGTGAATCACATAACTTCCAAACAGGCCCGTATCAAGATTCTTTGTGGTCCAGGGCGATCAAATTTTCGGGGCCCCTTGGTTGAGTGGCGGGGGGTTTGTAAAACAGCACGACAAAATACATAAATCTTAAAACATTTAAACTTATTTTAAATAAAATTAAAAATATTTTTATCATAACGAAATGAAAGATTCAGAATAAAAGGGTCCCTGGAACGTGGGGCCCGAGGCTACAGACCCCAGGACCCCCTCTCGATCCGGCGCTGCTTCCAAATACTAATTAATTGTAAACAATGAGAGCAATTTCTTTTATTTCTTTTGTATTGTTCTCGTCCCCAACGGCTGTTGTTCAACTCCTTGTACGATATGGGTCATCACTGATAGTACAGTCCACAGTGATACGAATTTTTCACCGCTGACGTATACAGGGTGTTAATTTGAATTGAGCACTTAAATTATTTCTGCTATTATTTAAAATAAGAAAAATGACTGAATAGGAGACTGAATAGTACATGGTTTTAATTACGTTTATTTACTTTTGCATTCTTCAAACAGAAGCTGATTTCTTCGCCTTTAAGATCACTTCAAGGTCATGGTGTATAGGTCGTTGAACTCATGTTGACGTCGACTACCACAATGCGTTATAAAAAATACATGTTAATACGCAAAAAAAAACACGATGACCTTGAAAAAATCGTTAAAATGACCTTCACAGGATTTTTTGCGTCACCATCAGATACACGCCCTAAAACCATGTACATCCTACTTAGTCATTTTTTCTTACTTTCAATAGTAGCGGAAATAATTTAGGTGCTCGAGTTAAAATTAACACCCTGTATGTACGTCATTCACGATTACTTGAAAGAATTTTGCACATTACGAGAAATATAGGTACAGTGATACATTTTAAACACGATTACTTCTATGGAATTGAAGCAAGTCAAAATCTTAGGTTTTTAAACAGGTATTTTACAAAATTTTCATAATGCCAATATGTACATCACTCTTGTTGTGTACTGATTTTGGTCGTGACTCATATACACGATATAACCGCTTAACTTGTTAACTGTTTTTGATGAGTATACTCGTCACAAAGAAATTTTTTTTTTTCGTATGACGAGTATACTCGTCAAAAATACAAAGAATTGCCATTTCATTATGACGAGTGTACTCGTCAAAATTAGTTAACAGCTCGGTAAATCTTGGCCCGTACATTTTTACAGTACAATTCTATAATTTCATAACTGGAGCTCTTAATTATTCACTTTTATAAATGAACATCATTATTTACATTACTTATCCCTCTTTGTATTGGCAAATTTTTACATCCTTGAACTTGCTGAGGGATTATAAACGTTTTAATGTTAATCAATAATAATGACATAAAAAAGAGTCATTTTATCATTTTATTAGAATTCATTTCAATTTTACAGCACATAGCTTAACAATAATCAAGCACATAAGTGCACCTTTTCAAACTGAAATAAAACACTTAAAGGGTTAAACATCAGTCACATAAGTGATGTCGGTATACAAACTTTTGTAAATACTGTTTTATAAACAGTAAAAAGGAAATTACGGTTTCACATTGCCATTATATAAGTGTTTTTCTATCGTCACGAGTAGAATTCTCAAAGGACGTTCCGAAGTCAATAGACCCTTTTCGGTGCACCTTGTATTATTTCGTGATCAACGTGTAAAACTGCGTCTACACTATGGAGCACAACACATTATATAGCAAAGTTATGAAACTTGTTAGAGAAATAGCAAGAAAAATGTTATATAACATATGTGACGTAACATTTTTCATGTTATATAGCAAATTATATCCATCAAGTGTGACGTCATTATTAATAACGAGATGCGAAATGTTATACAAACTTGTTACATACTTGTCCAAAACGTATAATCTTGTACCAAGTTATACAAACATGTTGTATAGCAAGGTTATATAACAATTTGTTATATAGTATTGTTATGCTATGTAGTGCAGACGTAGCTTAATACGCAATAGTTTCCCCCGGTCTACGATTCACATATGTGCATTTCATTCATCCAATTTCCCCAGTAAAAGAGTTGTGTACGACCGGTGGAACGTTATCGTGGACGAGTTTTCGTTTTGTTTTCTTTCGAACAGTGTTTTGGAAACACGGAACGAGAGAGGGACATCGATACTAAAAATATCATCGTCGAACGTGTGTTTTTTCGTAAGTCGCGAACGAAGCTACAGAAATCTATGGTTAGGTGGGTGAAAACAGAGCAACAAGAGTTGCTTTCCGTGAGGGAGACCCCAGAGTGGTCGGTTGGTTAAGGTCGTCGAACCCCTTCTGGGGACCTGAATGTTAAGGACGTGTGTGCAGTACACACCGCGCGCGAATGATTCGTGCCGCTTTCAGCCGGCCGACTTACGGCGACACACGGCAAGAATCATTCGGGTGGTTTCGTGGAAACCGTTCCCTTATTGATTCTTGCCGCTTTTAGCGTGGTCGACTTAGAACGTGAACGGCTAGAATTATCGTAACATCTCTAACAGATCGTCCTATTGATTTTTACTACTTTGAACGTTCAACAGGATATAATGAAGAAGAGCCTCAGAGGCTCTCAGTACAGACTAGCTGAAATTAATATATTCTAAAATATTTTAATTTCTTTTAATTCGGTTTATTTATTTAGTAAAATGGTAACATTAGATTGTTAATTATTTATTATACAGGGTGTTCTATAATGATGGGACAAGATGCAACATGCATATTCCTCGTGAAAATACAAATCGAAAAGTCCTTTACCGTTTTGTAGTCTGGCGTTCCATTTCCGAAATATTAGCAGTTGAACGAACTCCAATCGGGTGAGAGGTCGGCCACACGCACGCGCAAACACAGCCAAGAAGCAGAGGCCAGTCAGCTGGGTCGCGCGCTTCTTAACTGCGTTTGCTCGTACGCGTGGCCGACCGCTCAGCTGATTGGAGTTCGTTCAACTGCTAGTATCTCGGAAATGAAGCTTCAAATTACAAAACGATAAAGGACTTTTTGATTTGTATTTGCATGAGGAATATTCACGTTGCGGCTTGTTCCATTATTTTAAGATACCCTGTATATACAGTAGACTTTTGATAGATTTGTAAAGTGCGTTGCTTATAAACCGAGACGGCAAAGGGGCGAAGGGGGCATTTTTCTAGCACGCGGTGCCATATTGTCTGATTGGTCGATGTCATCGCGCTGGCCAATGGGAACAATACGTGTACTCAATAACCAATCAGAGTCGCATAACCTTCGCTGGACTTCTTGTGAGCAACGCACTTTAGCTTGCTATATTGCCGCGCTGGGCACTTCCCCTGCACCAGTACGATTCAGCTCTTGCGCAAGCGTAGCCGGGGTTACGACGGCACAACCTAGCATGGAGGGGGCTCCCGATATGTTGCCGCTCCACGAATTTTCCTCTTGTACAGTCCCGGTGGTCGTGGCAATGTATCGAGAGTCCACTGTATTACTATATTGTTCAGTGTAGAATAATAAAATAACCTTATGGAGCGTTTCACATGACAGTAAATCGTAACTTTTACGGTTATAATACTAAATGACTTTTGTCGTCGTGAACACTAGATGTCACACTGTCGTGACATTAGTTTGCCTTGTTATACAGTGTTACGACAAGAAACGCCATGACTTTTACTGTCACGTGAAAACGTACCTTTAGAGACTCTTCAATCCGGATGAAAAGTAAAATCTGACAGTTTATATGCTAACCTCAATTTATTGAACTTAAATTAAAATCTTCTTGTTTCACAGTACAACTTCTATTAACATATTCATGGAAATAATAAATAATGTTAAATACATGATGAAATATAAAAATAGCAGTGATAAATAGTAAATGAAGATTAAACCGGATACTTTCGGATCGTATTACGTGTGGTGCGAACCTCAAGAATGATTGGGAGCGTTTCTATGGATTCGTCCCGTTCACAAGTAGCCCATGACTTATGGTGCGAACGGTAAGAATCATTTGAACATTGTGCATACACTGTACTATTGATTCATGCCTGGGTGTATAGCGAGGGTCGCGACGTATGGCCTGAATGGTAAGAATCACTGATGCAATATGGTACCAGGTGGACAGACGCGATAACACGAGACGCACACGTGTTCCAGACGGCGTCGACCGAGTGATTACATAAATACAAGAATCCCGTCGGAAGTCCTTAACCCTTTGGACTGCGAACAGCACCGTTTTTAGACGTTCTTCCATTCGTTGCAACAAGAGACTCGGAAATGACCCATTATTGAATTCGCCGTTCACTTTGTAACCGTTGTTCGTTTCTTCTATGAGATAAACTACAGTTATTGCGTTTTATAAAATTCATAGAAAGAACTGGATGTTTTTTAACCCCTTAACCGTTTCGATATTCATGACGAGTATATTCGTCGTAGCTTAAAAATAATTAAACGCACAAGTGCACGTTTTCAAAATGAAATAAAACACTTAAATTCCCTTTTCTGTATCATTCACATATATTTCTTGGGTATTGGTAAATAATATAAAAAAAATAGAAGTTTCATTCTGAAAATGAATAGTTTTTTATACGATTTCGTAAACATTTATGTAACGAAATAATGAAATAAGAAAAGGTGTACTATTCTGACTCATTTTTCGTTTAAATTTAAGTTATCTGTTATGGGGTTCAATTATTAACA